TTTTTTTTTGCAAGCTGAATGTAGGGTAAGCATTGAAAATTGGTACATTTCCCATCAGATGTCAAAGCCTTGTGGGCAGAACCACAGTGCTTTTGTCAGAGCAGATATGCCCCTTGACATGGGCCCCGGTGCATTAATGCCACAGCCGATTTCCCTGGCTGTTAAAATTTGCACGCTTCTTGGATGACATGCTCCATCAGTCTGAACATGTCTGCTTTTGCAAGGATTATGAGGAGGGATGAGGAAAATTGGTCTGTTTCACTTTCTCCTGCAGTCGCATTTTTTAAAACCTCAAGTTCTTTCATTCCTAAATATAAAGTAAGTTGCAAGTGTTGTTAAATAATAAGTCTTCATTTCATCTTCCTCTGCTTCTCCCCCTTCCACCCAACAACCACAGCTATAGAAAGGAAGTCCTTTTCCCCTTGGACCGACCCAAATTACTAGTTACAGCACTGTCTGGTGGCTTCCATGTCAGTGGACTGGTGAATTTGTTGTTGGGAACCTTCCAGTCATTTCTTGGCCAGATTTCTTCGGAGAAGCTTTGCCATGTCTCCCTCTGAGGCTGAGAGAGTGGGATTTGCCCAAGGTCACCCTGTGAATTTCCATGGCTGAGTAGGGATTCAAACGGTGGTCTCATGGAGTCCTAGTCCAACATTGAAACCACTACATAGGGATTTCTTTGCCAAGATTTCTTTAGAGGAGGTTTGCCACCATTGCCTTTCTCCAAGGCTGGGAGTGTGTGACTTGCCCAAGGGTGGAAGTTTGAACCCTGATCTCTAAGGTCCTCACCGTTAAGTTCCATAAAGCAGAAGAAAGGCACCTGCCTACACTCACCTTCCAAACCTGAACTTTCAATTGTGACTGTTCCTCTCCCAAGATAGCTATTGGAGACCCCGATGGAGACCGAGAGGAGAGAGCATGGAAGAGCACCAAGCTCCATTCTTGTTGCAGGCTCTTCCAACCTTGCTCCCTATATCTTCACTGGTGAAGCAGTAGCCCCATTGGGAGGGGATGGCTGTGGCTGAAAGTTGGGGTGTGGAAGGTGAAGGAGACCAGCTACCTTCATCCTGCTTGACAGAGCTTTACGGTACTTTCTCCTGCCCTGCAATTTGCTAAGGATTAAAGTTGAAAGAGCCCCACCGTGCTGGCAACCAACAAAACCCCAGCCTTCCAAGTCTATTCCACCCTCTGTAGGACCTTGGTCTGTTCCAGAAGGCTAGTTCTCCCCTTTTTCTTTCCTCCCCTTTTTCTTTCCAATCTAGAATGCCCACCAAGGTCATCTTTGGAGCTTTGGCGAAGGGTCACCAATTCCTTCTTTCCATCCCCCCTGGGGTGCCTTTGGGTCTTTGAGTGTGACCCACTTGCCCTTCATTAGGACTTGGGAAGGGAGCCGTGTGGTGCTTGATCTCCTAGTCAAGAGAAGTTCTGACTTTGCTGGGTTTTTTGGGCAGAGAGATTGAGCCACACTGCTTGCCGTTCCATGACCATCTCCATGCTGTTGCAGCACAGAGAGAGCATTTTCCAAGCCCATGCAAGCCATTCGTATCCCCCTCTTTACACTAGAGGGCCATCTGTCTCTTTCCCTTTGGAAGAAATACATCAGTCCATCTGCTCTCATCGGTCACCGTCACCCCTCTCTTCAAGACTAGGTCTCATTCTTGTCAGGTGAGAATCACTCCACAACCTTTATTTACTGTTCAACAAGTCTATTTGCACTGAATATAAATGTTTGTGTGGCTGAGTTCCCCCCTTTTCTTTTCCTTCTTGGTGCTGTTTCTCACACTGAAGCCATTTGGTGTCACATCCTGCTGAGACCTTTGCTGGGACTTAGGGAGAAAACAACAATTCTCTCTACATTCTTCAAAGACAGGGAGAAACCCAAGCTTGGAAACATTCCAGACAGAAACTGGAAGGGTTTATATGGTCTGAGCCCTATCAGTTAATCTGAACAAGAGCAGACCTGTTGAATCGAATGTTGAGCAGCAAACCAACACATAGATAAACTCCTTTGATTCAGGGGGTTTACTCTAGTTGGGACAAAGAATAGCTTTCCTGAATCCCATTCCTTCATCCCAACTAGAGTAATCTCATTGAATCAATTGCAGCATGATGAGTCAATGTATAGGTAACACCCATTGATTCAATGGCTTGACTCTAGTTGGGCCGAACAATAGGACACAGGCCACATACCAGTGGCCAGGATCCTGTTGGCGTCTTCCCCCACAGAAGGAGCTGAACACTATTGCCCGACCTGAATGTCAACATTCAGGTAAGAGTCATAGAATCTGAGTTGCGCAGAGACATGCGGGTGTGTATGTTCAGCTGGTGTGTATGTGTCTGCCCTTAATGATGTTAACAGTAAGACTCCTTTGATGGTGGATCTAGTTGTGGCTTGGGGTGAGCAACATTACAGTTCAATAATACAAAGGTTGCATAACACAATCAGCAAGGGGATTATGGCACCCTGATCAAAACAAGGCATATGCGCCTGAAAGTCTGCAGATTCACTTGCAGGATTTTGTGCTTGATCTGTGGCTGTGCTCTTGTTTGACATCTCCCAGCCATGGAATATTAAGGTTTGGCTCAGGTTCAGCACCGTTACCTGGAAACTTTGTGTGTGACTTGGCATGGTCTCTGTGGGTTTGACTCTCACACCAGGACACTGCTGAATGACAATCCGCTGCAGTCTCAGCTGCTGCAAATGGCAAGCAGGATAGATTTGATTTGATTCCTTTGACGGATTTTGTAGTATCCTCCCCTTCGATAAAATCCCTTGGGTGGTTTACAAGATTGAAGAATGCAATAAAGGATCTTCAAAGCACACATATTAAAAATTCACCAGCACAGGCAACAACGCCAAAGGCCCTGCCCCTCCAGTCCCCTTAACATAGCTCAGAGCTGCATCAAACTCGGCTGAGATTAAAAACAAAAAAACAAAAACGGATTGAATTTAAAGGCCTGATAAAAGAGAAAGAGTATCAGCTGATGCTGAAATGATAGTGACGGAGCTGACAGAAGAGTCTCCCCAAGAGAGAGCATTCCCCAGTCAAAGGGCCACCACTGAGTGGTCCCTGTGCATGGCATCCATATGCTGTGCATGGGATACATACTTGCTCAAGGAAGCCTCTGGACTAGTAGCCCCAATATGAAGAATAGGAGTCTGGTTTCTTTTCCCTGTAGTCATCTGCTCCCAGTTCCAACAAGTCAGGTTTCATAAAGTGAGGCACCACTGGTCCAACTCAGTCTTGTCAGGTAAAATCTCCTAAGGCTAAGCCCAGCCCAGCACAACCCAAGAACTGTTCAGGACCTTGGACAGAGTTCTTCAGTGTTGTGTGCCTGAAGCAGATCTTCAAAAAGGGAATTCCTGTCCCATCAAAGAACTTCTAGCAACTGAGGTTTAGACCAGCTGGTCAGCTTAGATTCTTCAGAAGTTCCATCCTGACCAGTGATTAGCTGTAGTCCTAAAAGGACTCATTTTCCTTTATATCACTAGTTTGGTCTTTCATATCTTTTGGATTTTCCCTCCCAGAATAGAGTTCCCAGCTCCCATACCATTGACCACATACACTGGGAATTCTAAGAACTGAAGTCCAAAGGAGGACCAGAGTTTGAGAACCATGGCTTTACATGATCTTAAGATAGGTGGGAATGGGAGACTTATGTCTTTGTAAATAGACTTGCACATCTGGGAAATAGAACAGAGTAGTTTTGCAACTTCTGTATTCACCTATGTAATGTTAAGACATTACAAAGTATTGTGCAGTGGTAGCCAGTGGAGTAACTGGTGCACCATGTACCTGATATGCAGTGGGCACTGGTGTCCATCAGGGCACTCTCAATGCACAACCGGACACCAGCTAGGAAGTGCCAAAGTGCGAAACGAATGCCTGATGTTATGAGAAGTATCTGCTGCACATCAGAAGTGTCCAGTGCTCCTTAGAAATGCCCAGTGTGCATTAGAAGTGCCTAATGCTCATAAGGAGCACCCAATATGCACTGGACACACCTGAGGAGCATCAGGACACTCTTGCATCTTTGCAATTCACTAACAGGGCTTCATTTCATTTTCTGTAACATAAGTACAGATCTTTAAAGTTATGGAACATGCTGTGATGTAGCACCTTGACCCTTCTTTGTTTGTGGCTGGAAGGACTTGGAAGAACCTTTCATGGATGTAGAGGTGGAAGGAAGGGAAGGAAGGACTTTGTGGTCCTCGGGAAACACATGAGGGGATAGTAATGGTTTCTTGGGGAGTGGGGAAACTGGGAAACTCTGTTGGTGTCATGACAGCAGCGAAACTCTGCTCAATGTTTGACCCTTTCAGGGTACCATTGGAGTCCCTTTCTCCATGTACAGAAGCAGGGATTTGAACCTTGGTCTCCAGAGTCCTAGTCTAACACCCAACCCACTACACCATGCTGGCTCCCTGGATCAAATGTTACCAGATTGCATATTTTAGGATCAACATTGCAGGTAAACATGTGCAAAATATATTCTAAAGCAATAAAAAAAAATCCTCTAGGTTTTTTTTTTTTAAAAAAAACTACACCACCAATTGATGTAGAAACAAAAGAAAAGTAGACTTGTGAATGAACAGATAAAGTCTACCATGGACAAGAAATAGATGAATCTTTCCAACCCCGATTAGAACGCTGTGATATATCGTTTCTAAGCTGCTTTTCAGTTTAAAACTCCCAGAGTGGTGTATAATTGATAATAAACATTACAGTAAAAACTAAACAGTGAAGATAGAGAAGCAAGAGCCACAAGAACAAGCGAATCCATCAAAGCTGTATGGTAAAGAGAAGACTAGATAGAAAACACTCTGACGTTGCTGGGCATTTTTTCCTATGGTCTGATGATAGATCACAGGGCTAATTTCAGGTGATCTTCCTTGGGGAAGGCATGCCATATATTTGCTTGTCGTTTGCTGTTGTGTGCCTTCAAGTTGTTCCCGACTTATGGCATCCCTAAGGCGATGCTATCATGGGGTTTGCTTGGCAAATGTCTTCAGAGGGGGTTTGCCATTGCCATCCTCTGAGGCTGAGAGAGTGTGACTTATGCCATATATAGGATACTGTAAAGCAGGGGTGAATAACTATAGAGGAGACAGGGACCATTTGCATCCAATGCATCCAACACAACTGAAGATGACACCATGTTAGGGATAGAAATTCTTGACTATTTGAGACATGTATGTGAAGACAAATGTTATGGTAGTTATATCTCTGCTGTAAGAGAAGGCAAATGTTATTCCACAGTATTCTGTGAAGACAGTCTGCAGTCAAATCAAGGGCTTGGCCCTGTGTTGTATGGACAGGGCGACATGAGGGCATAAGGTAACCAGTCTAAATGGCCTGTATAGACTTGTGTAGTGGAAAGTCCCTATTTCTCATTGGATCAGCAGCTGTAGGGTTTGCTTCACTCACAAATAATGGGTTACCATGTTGCTTTGAAGGTGTGGCCCTCAAGCTCTGCTCAGTGCAATGGCGCATGCAGTATTGGGTGTGGGACGTCTTCCTGAATCATTTGGTAATCCTCTCTGGATTACCTTGAAA